AAATCCACCACTGGGGACCCAGTCCGAATCAACAGTATAAGGCCCTTTTTTTTTGTGATAGCTAGACCCGAACCCCGTCCCCGCCCGACGCGGCCCTGCTACCGGCCGGCCCGGCGACAGGAAGAAAGAAGTGCCCTCACATGGAAAATCCGGCTTAAATAGGGGGGTGACGCAAGGGGATTGTGGGCCCTGCCGATTGGCCAGGCGTGAGCCGGGTCTTGTTACACAGGATGTGGTCATATCTATGGCGCGCACTTCCCTTGATTGTCATTGGTTAGTTTAAAATCCCGGGCGCGGCCAGCAGAGGCCTGGGCTTCCGGGAAGAAGGCTACACGTGGCCCCAACATGGAGGATGCGGCAAGATGGAGGTGAGCGCATAGCCCTCACCCTTTCATATATATGTATATATATATATATTATATATATATATATATATATATATATATATATATATGTACATTTTCTTTTTCCTTCTGATTTATTTAACTATTATTAATGTATTAAATTCAACATTTCAACCTATCTGGACTTGATGTTGTTAAAAACTGGAATATTTAAATCTAACTTAATTTTCTAAATAATTAGTCTATTAACCAAGTAGCATTTTAAAAGTAATTATAGATCATAAACTCCACAAGGCAAATACTGGTGCTCTTGTCTATTTTATCCCCACAGCTCAGTACAGTGACTGGCAGGCCCATGGTTGCTCAGACCAAATGTTGAATAGTCACTCTTGATTCCTTTCACTCCCTCCCTCCATTCCCCGCAAGTTCTGATGTTTTGTCTTAGTCTCTGCATCTCCACTACCACCTAGATTAGGAAGCATCACTTCTTGCTCAGATATTTCAGATGGCCTCCTAATTGTTCTCTGCCTCCACTCTGTCCCACTACAGTCCTTTCTTCACCTATAGCCAGTGTAATCTCCACAAACAAAAATCAGGTCATAATACCATCTCTGATTTCCTTTGCTGAAAACCTGACTGCTGGTTGGCCACACTCTCACCCCCACTGCATCGGAATAAAAATCTGAATCTGAGCTCCTTGCCATGGCCTCCAAATCCATGTGCCCTTGTCATTGCCTACCTCTTTGACCTTCTTGCCTGACTCTATACTTGCTGCCCTGCATTGAATTTTTTTCCTGGAACAGACCAAGCTGGTTGCTGCTTCACTTGGTGTTGCCTCTGCTAAGAAAGTTCTGCTCTTGTCACACCTGATTCTTTAGATTTTTCTCTTTTCTTGTGTGTTTTTTTTCAGATATTTTCTCCTCAGAGAGGCCTTCTCTGACTGATCCAAATAAGGTCTCCAATCTTTATCACAGTCTCCTATTTTATTGTACTAATGACAATTATCACTATCTAAATTTATTTTACTGTTTTGTTTATTGTTGAATGTATATTTGTTGTCTTGGACCATCTATTTATTAGGATGATCCTCACATTAAAACATAACAGAAGAAGGACCTTCAATTCTCTGTTCTCTACTCTGTCCTCAGGGCCTAGAACAATGGTAGGCCATGTAAGAGGCTCAAGAAACCGATTCATGAACAAACAATGTTGACTTAATAAATGTGTGTTGAGTAAGTAAATACAAATTACACTTCTTTCCTGATTTGAAAGAACACTTTTATTAAGTACTATGTACAAACTTTGCTTGAATTTTCCAGCCTTGTAATGCCATACATAGCTGCTCACTATAGAAAAATGAGGATTTAGTTTATATTTAGTATTTTCAAGTCACAATTGTCATTAGCAATTTCTCTTAGGCCAGCAGTAAATATGACTTCATGTCTGAGGGAGAAAAGCTCCTAAAAATAGATATTTCTTTTAGGGCATGGAAGTGAGTGCTGGATTGACTGCCAGTAATGACTCTGATTTGCTGATGCCTCCCTATATCTCTTGGGAGGACTTTCCTACACTGGTTTGGGCTTGGCCAGGTGACTTGCTTTGGTCAATGGGTCAATATCAAATGATATAAGCAGAGACTTGAAAATCAGTTGTGCACTGGGACTTACCACTCACTGTACTGACAAGCCTGAGCTAGCCAGTGGGATGA